TAGCTTCCTGGGGCAGATTCAGGATTTTTCTTAAAACAGTGTTTATTTGATGGAAATTAGTTTTGTATTAGCGACGTTATGAATATTTAATTCATTGGATATCCGCCATGTAGGTTTTGAGAAAACAGCTTCCAAAAATTCCAAAATCAATAGTTTATTAAGATTTGTATATCAAAAAATATTTTAATATACTTTTCATTTAGATTTAGTGATTGATATTTTTGCAGAAATGTTCTTCAATATATCCTCTTATAGTATGCGAAAACCTAAAAATGTTCAAAATTTCGATTCTAAAACGTTTTGAGTGATTATGCAAAAATTAAAAATTGTGACAAACGGCTGGTTTTTATCAGAGCTGGTCACATCCAGAAATCATCCTTTCTAGTCAATAGTTTTAAAAAAACACCATAATTTCTAGTATTTAGGTTCATATTATTAAGGAAGAAGAGATGTTTTAGTATTACAATGTTAATTACTATTTATTGTCTATATATCCCAAACACACGTGTAGCTAAATGCCAAATGCTGTAAATATTTACAGTATATTTAAAAGTATACACCATAGTTATAATTATTACAAGTTTTTTTTTCCCCAGGAATTTTGATTAAGTTTACATTTCAATGTAAATATTTTTGGGAGAAAAGTCAAAAGAATTACCTCTATATACTACAATAATCATTTTTTATTTGCATTTTAAAGGGATGGGTACCATGCATGAAGAGTATATATTAATAGTGTCATAGTGTTTAATTGTTGAAATTAGTGTAACATGATAATTGGATATTTTTTTACTAATTATAAAATATTGTAATTGAAGAAATCCAATTTAATGTAAACACACTCCAGTCAAAGGCACCATATCATGTTCTAGATCGTCCCTTGAATATTAAGTTCAAAAGGTCAAATATTCAAATGTGTCTATTTTATATTATATTTATATATTTATATTATATATACAATATGCATATTTTTAAATTGTACAGAAACAATAAACAATTGCTATGATTTTAGGTTTTTTTTACAGCTAATATTATAGACTCCTTATTAGTTATAGCAAGTACTTAATCTTATTGCAATTTATTTCTTCACTAAATTTGGATTTTCACCAAAAAAATCCTATTCATTGATCATTATCTCCTGCTTCAATATTTTTAGCAATCTTTGAATATATATACTTCAGAAATTGCTACAATAAATCTAATTCTTGGTTCATAATTTCCAATCCTTTTTGAGAAGCATAGATGGTGGATTTCTGGCGTATATGGGAGGTGTTCATGGTTATATAAAGGTATAAATTGAGTTCTTTTATGCAAATTCCAGCTATCCACATTTAAGGCTGAAATAGTAATTTGTGGTCAAAAATTCTTAACAGTATTTTCCTTTTATATAAATATTTTTATATTTGTGAAAGGGACAATTAAGCTTAATTCTACAGGTGAGTTAAAGCCAACCAAAAGAAAAAATGCTACTTTAATTTACCAGTATAAGTATATAATATTTCTCTGATACAGATCGGAGATTGGCTGCCGGTTGCATAAATTTTTATCATGTTATTCCCTGGTGAACAATAATTAATTCCTCATCAGAGTCACTACTTGCAAGTAAACAGCTACAACCATCTTGCGTTTTCTGGGAACTTAAACATCTGTTAGGCGGCCTCTCAGACCTGTGTTTATTTTTAGTATGTACAGGTAGCATGGGTACCCACGGATCAGACGGCGAAGACGGCAGTGATTCCGTGGACGTAACCACCATGTTAAGATCCGTGAATGAGGTCTCGTTTAGATCGACCGATGTTGATGGCAAGTGATCCCGGGTTGATGTGGCTCTAAAGTGGCTGGAAGTTGACGGTTTCATGTCGCGAGCGTTTACAAGCTCGGTCGGGAACGTGGAAGACTGTTTACAGTTTGTTTTTTTGTAACAATTCTTATATACCTGTGCTATAGTACTGTCTTCGTCACTGCTATAGTCTTCATATTGAGCCCTATGATGTTGCATAGCAATGGTGTATAAAGTATTGGAAAACGATAGAAAATCTTCAAAGTCAAGTTTTCCATTGTGTATGCTATCCTTGGCAACCTGATCATAAATTTGCTGTCTTTCCTGGGGACAAGTCTCGTCGCCTAATTTGTCCAACGCTCTACAAGTCTCCTCATACGAAAGTAGGGCATCGCTGTCCTCGTCGCATCTATCAAACTCGAGGTGAAACTCAGCGAAATTTGCAAGCATCCATTGCGGGTACAAATTAGCAAACTTTTCAAAACTTGTTCTCATCTTGGCCTTTGGCGCGACCATTTCCTGCCTGGCCGCGAGGACCCTCTGATAGACATGGTCATTTAGTCTTTGCATTGAGGTTTTGTGAAACCTTGGTGTGGCCATTTTGTTCCTTACTGCTTTCCTTTTCCCAGAACTTGTAAAGTTTTCCGCTAATTCATAATTGATTGGAGGTGCAGCGATTGGATAGGTCAATGTTATTCCCATGTCTTCAGGAAGCGATACTAGGCAACATAGCCTTTAGGAATGGTTACCGGGCAACATAGCTATCATCACATAGGTATTTAAATGGAGCAGTGTGTGAGAACAATGGAAGATGCTCTTTTGTTGTTTGTTATGTTATCTGTAGCCTTCTAATAGCCATGCCTTAACATCCTTTATAAACTTTTTTTATTTGTTGCAAACCTCCTCAAAGACACTACTATTATTCCTATTGTACAACTTGTTATTGCTTCTTCTGAGCAGGGATTGTCTAATCTAGAACGCTGAAGTGAGGCTGCATATTTGAGTAGCATCCTCTCTTTTTCTACTTTCACCAAGCAACTGCCAACCCTTAATAGTGAATTATTATCCAACAACTTTACTGTGTTTTCCTTTAGTCCGCCGTCCAAAGTGGGTTAGATGTCAAGTGGGTTAAAGCCGATGATATCAGACACTAATCATTGGATCATGTGAGAATGTGTTGTCTGCCAAACTTGAACAAGCTAAGTTTTCGAAATATGACTGTTTTCTGATAAATTCAAGTTTTTCACATGCTGAAATTATCAAAGTACTAAAGTTCCTACCTGTGTCATTAATAACTCCAAGTTAAATTAGTTGAAAGTACGGTTATCCTACGGTATCCAAGCTCCTGGAGAGTTTACGCTGTACTGAAAACTAAACAGGCATATTTTGCATTCTGCAGAAGCCACAGAATCAACCTCCTCATTCCCCAACGACATTTAAAGGGCCTGTGTGACGTAGAAGTCAGCTACTCTTCTCCATTATGTGTTGATACAGAAACAGCGATCTCACTTATAGTGTCTAGGCCAATCAGAAGCCAGAGACAAGTCATAGACTGTTCCATTCTAGTAGGTGTAAATCTCATTAAAAAGAAAAAAAATATATATTTTATACAAATTAATGAACATTCTTATAGCATAAAATATATTAATAGAATGAGTAATATTATTTATGAAATGATTTTATACTCAATGTTGTGTTATATATACATGTTCAAAATTTATTAATTTTTAAAAATAATTATTAATTATGGACTCAACCATTTACACCTTTGTGTGACGTTTCCTAATGTGATTATAGATTGCAAAGTTACATGAGAAAATTCTAGAGTGACACGAAGAGCCTAGCAGACTGGAACGGGAGTATCACTTGCCGTTAAGTAGCTCTGCCACCAGCTGACGTAACGTGTGCAGTGTATTCTTACATTCAGTGAATTCATACATAAACATTGCTGTGTATGACAGCTAATCAAGGGTGGAGAGTTCAGAATGTTTATGTTTTTATAGGCATTGAAATATGGTTGGAGGCTCAAAAAATTATCACGGCCTGAGATCATGAGTGATATATGACAAAAAGAAACCAACTGTGTCTCAAGTTTCGTCTTGATATTTTTTCTAGTGTTTTTTCTTGCTTTTGATTGTTTTATCACTGAGTTAATTATTCTCTTCCAAGTTTTATGTGATACACAATAATTATAAATAAATAATCCACTTTAATGTTTAAATATTAACAAAATAGCTATAGGGATATTTTTTTCTATTAAAAATAATATAGGTATTAGATATAATATTTTTTTTACAAAATTATGATATTTTAACCAGGAAACTTTTCAGTGTTCAGCTACTGTTCGCCCAAAGGGACCAGTATGCTTTTATAAGTCTTAGGCCTAAGAAGTGGAGTTTCTTTAGTCAAAAGAAATCTGGTTTCTCAAAAGATTTTAACTTTGAACCCTGGGATTTTAATGGGGCATCTTATTCACCAAGCTATTTTCCGAATAAAGTTTCAGGAAACATACAGATAATAAAATACAGGCTCAAAATTAGTTATATCATCTTAGAAGATTGAAGAGATCCATTTTAAAAATATTGATATACAGCGATTGACTTTTTGAACATCAATATCTCTTAAGTAAGACCCCCCCTCCAGGTTATTATTGACATTATCTCTTGCTCTCTTTATTATGGAAATGCTTTGTGATGTTCCCAACTGGATTTGACAGTTTCCATGAGGTGGTATTGATTTGTAATTGCAGTCTTCAATAGCGTCTGTCTTACAACTTTGAGCATCATAATTTTTGGATGGCCCATGTTTAAATAATTCATACTTTAATATCTATTTATAGTGAGCTCTACTGTAATTCTAATACCAATGCCATACATATTCATTAAAAAATTTGTAACAGAGAATGGAAGGTCACTTTAGAGTAATGACTCTGAATACCATCATATATATTTTTAATGGTACTATTTTCCCGATATTCATGGTCCATAGTAAATTATTATTTATTATCGGAGTGATCATTGTAATTGGAAAGAAAGTATTGATATATTTTGTAGGGGACATATCCTATAGAAGATTTATTAACGAGTACAATTTTCATAAAATTTACTTCGTGTGTGGTCATCGTTTGAATTTCATTTCACACACGGATTCAAATGTGATGGTTGTTTTTACTGTAAACAACCGGAAATCGAACACTGCGACCTTGAAACCAGTGCGTTAAACTATTACAGAACGCGTTTTATTCGTCGTCAACTTTATCAAGTCTGTGTTATACAGTATAGGCCATTTTGCATGTACCTGTACTACCGAACTTTCCATGTTCATTATAGCATTAAAACGGTAAGGAATAAAACGCAGTAAACAAGTAACTTCGAACTTCGAGCTTCGATGAAAACATGTAACGCGCACTACTACCTTGCCGACGCTTCCATCGAAAACCCAAGCGACGCGGTCTTAGACACGCCCCAAAATTGGTCAGCTGACTGGATTAGAAAGCATGCGTGTTTCTAAGCTTTCCAACGATATCAAACTTGACACGAGTTTGACCCCGGAACACGATTGAAAAAAACAGTAATTTCGTGAGTATTTTAAACGATGATTTGCCTTCGTTTTTCATACTTCCGGGTTTGAGTGTCTAACTAAAATCACGTTTTACAGTATTTTTGGTACTTAAATGTGAAAAATATTATTTGAATCCTATTCTTAGATACTTAATATACATGTTTTTAATGAAACACCAAAATGAGCAAATTTGACCTTGTCTATTGTTTTGCCTTTATATCTTAAAATCGTCTTAGCAACTTCCGACCGTTTTGGCTTGACATCGCCACATATTTCTTCAATACCATCAATTACCATTTAGTGAAGTGGAGTTGAATAGTTTGGTGGTTAAGATGCTCACCTTCCAATTCCAGGGTCCTGGGTTCAATTCCTGTCAGTGTTGCAGGTTGATAAACAAAACAAATTTAAATAAATAATAATAAACAAACAAATAAAGTTTGTCTTGTTCCCGCTTCGCTAAAATTTGTATTGAGTGACTCAAAGTCGTATTCTTGATGGACTGGTTTACATTCGTCTTCTGAATTATTAAATTCATATATCTGTGCAGGAATATTAAGCAATCTATTACACCCATAGCTATGGATATAAATGTATTATGTATTAGCAATGTCACGTTGGTGCTTCGCAGGCAAAGTAGTCAGCATTTTTCCCAAGGTGCCCTGCACATTTATGTCTCATTTGTAAGTGGAGAGTACACCAACTTATGATCATTAGTGCCACTGATAATTACTTGTTCTGGATGCTGTTAAAATTTAAGGAGAATGATTACCACACAGACACTGTTAAAAAAAAAAACCCATCTGATCTTGTAGTTTGTAATTTTGTGTGTATTCATTTATTCATTGTTTATTTTGGATTTTTTTTAATGGTCTATGATATTTAAAGAATTTGAAGACAGAATTATTTTACATCTCTTAAATAATGAAGAGCAGTGGTGTATCAATATGAGGAAGCGGCCTTCAATGGCGGCCTAAAAGAATTCCCCCCTTCCAACTCAGCCCCTCCCCCCACCAATTGAAAATTGGTGATACAAAACATCATGCTCAATAGATAAAAATAACCTCATATAACCTTATTTTGCGAGCTAGTGTAACCTCACTTTAATGATCGAGCCCCTACTTCACCATTGCTCCCATCAGCCTCCTTCCCCCCTAGACATGCCACTGATGAGAAAATATTTACCTTTCTAATATTCCATTGAAGCCCTATTAACTAATAAGTCTGCAAAAGGGTTAGCAAAATTTACTATTATTAACACATTGACTGCCAGACCTTTTCTTTTAGGTTTCTTTTCCTGTGTGTCAGAATAGGTATACATGTACAAACATACTTTTTTTGAAATTCTATCTAGTCACATATCATCAAAATGAGGTGTCTAATAAATTGGTGGGAAATTATTACGGGACGAGCAAACTCATTACTGGCACTGGGACAGCATTTTTTATTGTCTCTGCCAAGTGCGAGTTTTTTCGTCTGCTTTTTGCATGGGTTGGTATATGTTCAGAAGGCACCCCCAATCATGCAATCGAGTGTACTGCCAGCAGAATAAGACAACAAACATACATCCGCTATTTGTACATTATCGCTTAGGTGTATCTTCCCCGAACTACCACCCGTTAAGTCTGGTTCTACAATGTATATCAAAGAAGTAATAAACGCGAGAATGTTACCCCAATTTAGAAAAGTATAGTCGTCACAAGCACCCGCAGCAACATTCTGTGGTATGTGTATACTCGTTGCTGGCAGTCCAACTTGTTAAAACAATTCAAACAATTAAAGATTATTAGGTTAAACACAACACTTAATTTAAAGGTTGTTTCAGATTCCTTAAGCCTAAAGCCTAGCGTGCATTGCTTGTTTGCCGAAGTGATTTCATTGAGAATGCAAATTGATTAGGTGTGGAACTGATCGTTTTTAACGATTGCCCGCTGAAACTGTCAAATAATTATTTTGTTTGTACTTTGCTATGCTTTACTTGTTCATTGACAAAAGGTATTAAAAGTAAAATGTGGTTGATCTAAATATATTTTTTAAATATTTTCCAGGCTGTGCAATGTCATTCGGTTTTCATATTTGGCCGCTGTGTGTCGGTTAAGATCAGGGTAAAATGCGCTGACCACACTCACGTCATCACTTAAAAATGTCGAATGAACCATAACCTATTTGGAAGAAAAGGAAATGCTTTCAGGGATTTTTTTGATTGACATAAACTTTAACATAAACTTTCCTGGAAATGGGTCAACTGACTCATTTTAAGTGTGTGCAGCTTACAATTGGGGGTTATAGCTTTAAACGCAGTCAATGTACGGCTTCTCGAGTCATTGCAATGTACGTCTGTCAGTTTGGTTACCATAGACACCCAATCAGGTTATCCCACGTGTGCAGACACGACAATTTGTTAATTATATGATCTGAATTCCAGGCTATTTACCGTGTTCTCCTTTAAAAAATGCCTGTTCATAACAGGATTTTGATTGTAATAGAGACTAAACCAACATTACGGAGAATGCATAGAAGAAAATGACTGGGGAGAATACCCCGGATTCCTAGGAAATAAATCCGACTTAATAGTCACATCTGCATGTTGCTTCACCTTGGCATTTCTGGAGTGACTAGTATTTGATAACCTTGTTAAAGCTGTATATTATAAGAGCTGTTTGTTTTTCAAAATGTAGTATTTAAAAAATTTTATATTTTGCAATTTAACTTGGATTTTTTTTTTTGTAGATTGCATAGCTATTTAAGCTATGTTAATAAACCTTAATAATAAAATTTTATATTTTAATTTCTGAAATTTGTATATTTCGGTGATTATTTTCTGTACAGACGCATAAATGATACTGTTCCTGTTTCTTTGCGTAGACTTAACTGGCCACAGACAATCTAATGATTTCCGTAATAAAGTCTGTAAATTAGAAAATTGTTTAAATCCATCTCATTGGGAGTTTTGACTAATTTGATAATTTGAACTGGGCAACCGCCAATGAGGGTAATTTAGAAAAAAAATAAAACTTGAAAAAAATGAAAATTTCATTAGAAAACTAAAATTTTATAATTTTTTATGCCCTCCACTACCTGACATCTGCAAAAATAAGATGTATTTCTTCCTTATTTATATAAATTTTAAGCATTTATCAATCTCATTCTACTGTACACTGTTTAATTCATTATTAAAATTTAATTTTTATTTTCTTCATCTAGATGATTTTGGCAAAATCATTTTGCTAAATGAGAACATTTTTGTTTCTTTTTTTCCACCCTCTTTTGATAACCTTTAGAACAATAAATTTATATACATCAATACTAAAGGACATACGGTTACAAAATAATTTGGATTAAACATCATTTAAAATTATTAAAAAGAATGAATTAAATAATACATTTAAATTAAATGTAGTATCTAATTCATTTAAATTAAACAAGTAAAATAACAATCATGATATATAAAACTTATAATTACTTTATTTTTAAATACGCAATTTTCAGGATGTATACCGTAGTAATGAGTAAACTTGATTTGAAAAAGCAATGTGTTTTTTATCATTTATTACTATTTGTAATTGAGGCTTATAATTCCATTAAGTAAATAATCTGTAGGGATATGATAGAAATTAGTAGCAATTAATATTTATGATTGAATATTATTATTATTCTCTTTTCTAATGCCAGCTTATTCTGGAAACTATGTTAACCTTTTCCGTATCTTAATGCTAGCTAATTAAAAAAAATAACTTGTGCCTATTCCATATTCTTATACTAGCTATTCCACTATTTAATTTGCCAGCCAATTCCATATCTACGGTATATGCCAGCGTATTTTGTATTCAAATATGTCATCTTATTTTGTATTCAAATATGTCATCTTATTTTGTATTCTTCTGTTAGCATTTTTGTATTATAGTTTGCCAGTTTATTCCGTATTCTTCTGCTAGCTTAGTTCTGCATTCTGATAGCTTATTCCACATTCCAGAATACTCTAATTCAATTCCAGATTATCTGTTATTGCGCCGTGATATGATGATAATTACCGCTAAATACTTTGTAACATTCTACATGTAATTCGCACACTATGTCTTATTGCTTGCATGTAACACTGGGTTGTATTTTTACAAATAACATATTTTACATATGTGTGTATAATATATTCTTTTTAATTATTGTTGATCAATTCTATATTATGTATATTGTATATATTTTTGTTATGTTTAAACTGTACCACTTTGAAAATCAGTGTAATAGTACTGAAAGTACCTATAGCATAAAGAAGAAATATAAATTAAAATAACTATACGATATTAACACATAAATTATGTGTTATTTACACATTTAACATCTTGTGTGTTATTTGTATTAATGTTGTCTGTGTTATTCACAAACGATAATGTTATTTACATGCAACATTCTTTGTGTGACATTCACACGCACATGACATTTTATGTGTTATTTACACACGTTTACCTACGTGACATTTTACATGTTATTTAAATGTAATGGCAGTATGCCTTGGATCATTGCAAAAGAATCCTTCGAAGATTCACAATTTGAGACAGTTAAATAAATTCCGTATGGACCGTATAAACTTATATTGGCAGGCTATAAAAAGTCAAAAGTTGCGTTTCAGTGGCGTCATAGGCCGACTGTATCCCCTATGTTTCTACCTCGTATAATTGCTTTGAGCATTTTTTTTCCTCAAATTATTTGTTAATGGATGTTGAGATCTATCATGTGAATTGAATTATGGAATGCGTTTTAGAAGCAGTTTTGCTCATTTTTCATGT